GTTCTGAAGGCAAAAGGGGTCCGACCCGGTACTAGTGAGGTGTACCTAATAAAGTGGCCAGCGACTGTATGTATTAGTGTGTGTGTGTGTGTGTGTGTGTGTGTTACCCTCCTGCGGGGTCAGTAGGGTGCAGTCGTCTGAGATCAGCCTCCAGTGCAGCAGGTAAAACTCCACAGTGTCATCAGAGAACAAACTCCAGCACACATGCAGAGATGTGTGTGTGGCAGAGTTGGAGATCTGCGGGTTCATGACCGGAGCTGAGGGAGCTACACACACACACACACACACACACACACACACACACACACACACACACACACACAGAACACTGTCAGTATAACACCAGTAAGTGATAAGGTGTGAGCGCTCTGATGTTGTTCTTGTACAGTGCTGGGCAAGGGTTAGTCTTTATCTGCAGTGTACGTTACTCTCTCAGGTGTGTGTGTGTGTGTGTGTGTGTGTGTGTGTGTGTGTGTGTTTACCTAAAGCGCTCGTTCACCTGCAGTATTTAATCATGTCATTAATGTTTCCTGCTATGGAAGTCAGTGCTGACACACTCTTGAGCAACATTTCCTGAAGCATGTCTTGGCCTACAGGTGTGCTGATGTTAACCCGGTTAAGCGTCTGACCTGGCAGAGCGTTTATGGAGTCCATCATCTGTCGGACGTCGGACAGATCTGTGCTCGGCACCTGAAACTCCAGAGACACGCCCAGCTGAAGCTCCTCCTCCTCCTCGCTGTAGAGCTGTTTCATTCTGATTGGACAGAAGATTCCAGACTCTCATGAAGGCCGAGTTAGTGAACGAGTGAAGCGCACCGACCCGTCAGGCCCGTTACAGAGCCGAGTCTAATCACACCTGATGACTGAAACACTTTGATTGACATTCTCCCTTTGTACATGTCAAGCCCCGCCCACCAGTGCCCCTCTCATTAGCATATCCAGCAGGCCTGAGTGAGAAGCAGCCGTCTGTCCATTAGCCATTAGAGTGTTTGAGCTGCTGAAGATGATGTCAGCATAGACTAAGAGGATTATAGATGTGCAGTTCTAGATGAACACATCAACAGTGCTAGAGGACATTATCTGTGTGCTCAAACACACACACACACACACACTCTGGAGACAGCGGAGTGGTGTACAGCTCAGTCAGGAGCAGTGTGTGTGTGTGTGTGTGTGTGTGTTCTACACTATAGAGCAGCGGTGCGTCTCCCTCCTCCCCTGTTCATAACCCTAAAGCTCAAACCTGTTCCCGGATCAGCTGCGGCGTCTCTCACCTGTTGATGATGGGCATGACCGCCTGTCAATCAGAGAGAGAGGGGCGGGGTCAGTGTGTGATGACGTCAGCGCTCTAGTAAAGAACAGCTGACCTCTGACCTGCAGGAAGGCGTGTGTGTGCTGCC